AAAGATAATCGTGGAATGTACTTCTGGTTTTAAACTGCTGCCCTGCTCCTTCAGATTATCTTCTCTCCACCCCCATCCCCCTTGTTTATGGCAACTCTAAAACAGGCATAGGAATGTGTCAGAATTTGACTCGGAGGAGGAAACCGAACAGCTGACAGGGAGTGTGGCTCCATTGGCTGTGGAAGAAACAGGTGAAGGGCAAACTCCGGCTGGGCAGAGCAGGGGAGAGGTAGAACAAGGGAGAGGGAGTTCGGAGGAAGACCCAGGCCCACTCCCTCTTCATTCTAGGGCACGCAGGGAGGAACGGAGAAGGGAGCAAGGTGTGTTATGTGGCTTACGGGGGGAGGAAAGGGCCCTGATTCCCTTCATTAGCTGCAGCTGGGAACACAGTGTATAAAATAAGGGAAGCTGCACACAGCAAGCTGTTGGGAGCAAATGTGGCTTTATCTGGCTTTATCTGGCTTATCTGTGTTCCTGGCGTCTTCCCAACTGTGTGTGTTTTGCTGGACTTTCAAGTCTAAAATTCCTTCTCCTGCCCTGTCAAGCTAATTATTTCAGTTTGGCTTGTTTGGACTTTGAGTTACAGTTTGTGTGTACCTTGTTTTGGACTTAATTTTCTGCAGTCAAAGGCTGTTCCCGGGAGAGTTTTTATCCAGCCAGAAGGTAACCTGGACATTGGGGGCCAAGTTGGAGATAATATAGGGACTCTTCTTGCTTATTGGACTGTGTTGCCTTTGTGCCACGCCCCTTTGGGTCATCACAGAATGCTTTACAAGTTGACAGTTCAGGAGCTTGGTAGCCGGTAGTCATATTTATGACGGTTGCCGTGTCCTGGGATCATGTGATCCCCTTTCGTGACCGTCTGACATGCCGTCCATGGGGAACCTAGATTCCCTTAACAACCGTGTGACTAACTTAAGAACTGCAGTGGTTCGCTTAACAACGGTGGCAAGAAAGGCTGCAAAGTGGAGCCAAACTTACTTAACAACTGTCTCGCTCAGCAACAGAAATGTTTAGCTCAATTGTAGTTGTAAGTCGAGGACTACATATATTTGCAAGCTTTTTGATCCCCTAAGCATGAATGGACGATTCCCATTAATTCAAACACCATTCTCTCTTTTTTTTGCTCCCATGTTTTGGGATGGACGAGGGTGGGGAGGGGTCACCTGGGGGGGGCTGATCCAAACTCTTACCCCCCGGAAGAAGAAATAGGCGCCTCCCAACACGCTCAGGATTTCCCCGGTGACCCGGAAGTACTCGCCTCTCGTGTGACGAAAGATAAACGGAGGCTGCGAACAGAGAGCAAGCAGAGACGCAGCATGAAAATTTCCAACAAATCAAATACAATCCAAAAGGAACAGAAACCTTGTAATGCTTTTACAAAATAATTAGCTGTGATAAGCACAAGCCTTGCCAAATTGTGTGAGACTTGCCAAAAGATAACAGACAAGAAATAATTTGCAATACAAGAATCTTCAAATACAAACTCAGGATACTGGAATGTCCACGAGGCTGGAGTTTCAAAACGTCTTTGCTTCCTGCAAAGAACGTCCGATTCACAGCTGGCTTTTATCTTCTTGAAGGAGGGGCCATTACCTTGCAGCGTTACTCCCGAGTCGCCCGTGCTGCTGCAGCTGCTCTTTCCTCCGAGCAATCCTGCGCACACGCGCACTTGGCACAGGCTCCTCGGGAACCTCCTCATCACTGCTGCCAGCCCCCACAATCTCTGAAGGCAGCAATCCACTCCCTAATGGTCCTGGCCCCTCATCTGAGTCCTCGCTCTCCTTAACCGTTCGCACCTGCTGCCAGCTAACCACAACAATACCTGATCACTGAGCTTGAACATAGAACATAGAATAATAGAGCTGGAAGGGACCTTGGAGGTCTTCTAGTCCAGCCCCTGCTCAGGCAGGAGACCCTGTACCACTTCAGACTTATGACCGTTGCAGCATCCCTGGGTCACGTTGATCCAAATTACAACCTTCTGACAAGCATAGTCAACGGGGAAGCCTGCTTCACTTAACAACCGGGTGACTCACTTCACAACAGCAGGGATTCTCTTAACAAACAGCAGCAAGAAAGGCGGTAAAATGGGGTGAGACTCAGTTAACAGCCGTCTCGCTTAGCGATGGAAATGTTGGGCGCGCCATTGTGGTCGTAGGTCGAGGACTACCTGTACGGGAGGGGGAAGGGGGAAAAAACAACAACCCCGAGGTTTAAGGAGGCGTGGACTCACCGTTCCTTCCCTCTTGGTAGGTCGGTAGTAGGCCGCGACGGTGAGGATGAGGATATGCGCGGTGTAGATGAAGAAGTTGAAGTAGAAGAGGTGCTTCACAAACCGGTCCCACTTATCCTGCAGGAGCTGGTTGAGGGGTTCAACCAGGAGCATTTCGTGGCGATTCTAGGAAGAGAAGACACCCCAACCCCCTGAGGATTTATTTTATATTTATTTGCCTGTTTGTTTGTATCCCACTTTTATTCCTTTTAAAAATAAACAGCTGTTGTGGTCTGTCGGCAGCCTGCAGAGACGGCAGCAGAGCCAGACAGTGAGGAGGAACAGGGACCAGTCCGGGAGCCTGGGGAGGACTCGGACGAGGGTCCTGTGTCCGATACAGAGATGGGGCCAGGACCATCTGGGACAATGGTGGGATTCAAATATTGTTGCCATCAGTCCGGTGAGCGTGGCTTGCTGGGATCTCTATCTAAATCTCAATGTAAATCCATCTAAATCTAATCTAAACCTAAATCAATCTCAATCTCAATCTACGAGGGCTTTCCACAAAATAGATTACGTTTTCGTCTGTAGCAAGAAGGGGCGGAGCTAGCGCGGCCATCTTTGGTCTGTGCGTCCGCCGCTCAGTCTGCATCTAGTCGTGCTTTCGCTTGGTGCAAGATCAGGGCTGTAGGGTGGATGAGGAAAAATCTCCCACTTGAAAGCATTCAGGACTTCTCGATTGCCGTAGTTCGGCCATTTGTAAACTTAATGCACCATTGGCGCACTCCACCTTCAGTGATGATGTTGTCCCCGTACACTTCACACAGTTGCCGAAAAATTTCAATCGGTTTATGGTTTTTTGCCAACAGAAACCTTATCACTGATCGCACCTCACAACTCGCGGGATTTTCAGTTGCAGCACACATTTCAAACGTTTGCTGTGAAATAACGGGCAACGATACGGACCTCCCACTAGCACGACTAGATGCAGACTGAGCGGCGGACGCATAGACCAAAGATGGCCGCGCTAGCTCCGCCCCTTCTTGCTACAGACGAAAACGTAATCTATTTTGTGGATAGCCCTCGTAAATCAATCTCAAGCAATCTCAATCTCAATTTAAATCTCACTCAATGTAAATCAATCTAAATCTAAATAAATCTAAATCTTAATCAGTCTCTATCTCAATCTCAATCTAATCAAATTATGACAGCATAAAAGGAAAAGGAAACTAGGTGAACATCCTGAATCTGCCCAGGAGGAAGGGGTCAAGCTATTTTCTAAAGCGCCTGTAGGCCAGACAAAGAATAATGGACGGAAACTGAACAAGGAGAGATTCAACCTGGAAATAAGGAGAAACTTTCTGACAGTGAGGACAATCAACCCATAGAACAGAAGTTGCCCTCAGAAGTTGTGGGAGCGCCATCACTTGAGACTTTCAAGAAGAGACTAGACTGACATCTGTCAGAAATGGTGTAGGGTCTCCCGCTCAGGCGGGGGATTGGACTAGATGACCTATAAGGTCCCTTCCAACTCTGATTATCTGTTATCTATTATCTGTTTGTTATCTATCTGTTAACCATGAAACCCGCAACCAAGCTTTTCAAACTGGACATTCCCCCAGATGCTGGACCTCCAAATTCCCAGAATTCCATGCCTGGAGAATTCTGGGAGTCACAGTCCTAACGCCTTTGGAGCATGCCCAGTGGAGAAAGCTGCCTCCGCTCCAACCCACCGGGGTCTCACTGCTGTAAGCGATGATCTCCAAGACAGAGTTCTTCTCGCAGGTGTCGATGCTGGAGAGGTCGTAAAGCGAGGAGTGGACGGGTCCGTAGGCCCACTCGGTGAATTTGCGAGAGAGGTGACGGCATTCCGGCTCCTTCATCTCCCGCCGAAGGATGTAGGCGAAGACCTGAGGCCGAGAGGAAGAGAGGCGGGATGCCGGATTTTATTTTTTTATTAAATCTGCAGGTTCAAATGGCCAATCATACCTCCCCGCTGACTTCAGTCACAAAAGGGGATCACGTGACCCCCAGCGATGCTGAGACCGTGGTAAACATGAGTTTGAAGCGACTGAATTTTGATCCCGTGACCACGGGGAACGCCCAAGGGTCTTAAGTGTGAAAAACAACCATCGTTCCCTTTTTTTTAGTGCCGTGGCAATTTCAATATGGTCGCTAAGTGAATAGAGTAGAGTAGAGTAGAGTAGAGTAGAATAGAATAGAATAGAATAGAATAGAATAGAATAGAATAGAATAGAATAGAATAGAATAGAATAGAATATATGGAATGCAAAATAGAATAGAATAGAATAGAATAGAATAGAATAGAATAGAATAGAATAGAATAGAATAGAATAGAATGTAGAATGTAGAATGTAGAATGGAATGGAATGGAACAGAACGGAGTGGAATGGAATAGAATAGAATAGAATAGAATAGAATAGAATAGAATAGAATATATGGAATGGAAAATCAAATGGAATAGAATAGAATAGAATAGAATAGAATAGAATAGAATATATGGAATGGAAAATCGAATCGAATCGAATCGAATCGAATAGAATAGAATAGAATAGAATAGAATAGAATAGAATGTAGAATGGAACGGAGTGGAGTGGAATGGAATGGAATGGAATAGAATGGAATAGAATAGAATAGAATAGAATAGAATAGAATAGAATAGAATAGAATAGAATAGAACAAAACAGAACAGAACAGAACAGAACAGAATAGAATAGAATAGAATAGAATAGAATATATGGAATGGAAAATCAAATCGAATCGAATCGAATCGAATAGAATAGAATAGAATAGAATAGAATGTAGAATGGAACGGAATGGAACGGAGTGGAGTGGAATGGAATGGAATAGAATGGAATAGAATAGAATAGAATAGAATAGAATAGAATAGAATAGAATAGAATAGAATAGAACAGAACAGAACAGAACAGAACAGAACAGAATAGAATAGAATAGAATAGAATAGAATATATGGAATGGAAAATCAAATCGAATAGAATAGAATAGAATAGAATAGAATAGAATAGAATAGAATAGAATAGAATAGAATATATGGAATGGAAAATCGAATCGAATTGAATAGAATACGTTTATTGTCATTGCATTCTACAAATACAATGAAATCTGGAAGCTACTCCAGCACAGTGCCCCAAACACCACATCACAATCACACTACAGAGTATTTAAAAATTACAATTACAATAATAATAATAATGATGATGATGATGATGATGACAACAGCAACAACAATAATAATAAAAACCTAGTCTAAAACCTACCTAAAACATTTAGTAAGTTAAATCGTTTAAAAATGCCACTATATACATCGGACTAGATCACAAATGCACTGTTTGATTCAAGACAATTATTGCCTTGGAAAAGAAACTGTTTCTCAGTCTATTAATCCTCATTTTAAGACACCTGTAACGTCTCCCTGATGGTAACAGTTCAAAATATAAACGACCAGGATGAGAGCGGTCTGTGGAGGTTTTTAGTGCTCTAGAGAGGAGTCTGGTCTTCGCAATTTCTTCCAAAGAAGTAAGAGAGCAACCAATGATTTTTTTGTGCTGTGTTTATAACTCTCTGGAGCATCTTCTTATCCACTACAGAGCATCCAGCATACCACACCGTTACACAGTATGCCAAAATGCTCTCAATGGTAGAATGGTAAAAAGTAACCAGCCACTTCTCACCCAGGGCCACTCTTTTTCATCAGCCTCAGAAAGTGCAGGCGCTGTTGGGCCTTCTTTGCAGTGGCCATAGTGTGGATCAACCAAGTAAGGTTGTCGGAAATATGAGTTCCTAGAAATGTAAAACTATGAACTCTTTCCACACAGTCTCCATTGATATATAGTGGGAGAGGCTCTGCTTTGCATCTTCTGTAGTCTATAATCAATTCTTTGGTCTTTTTGATGTTCAGGGCGCGGTTATGACTCTTGCACCACAAGACCAGTCTGAGAACCTCTGACTTACAGAATAGGTCATAAGTCGAGGACTACCTGTATTTTCCCCGTCTTGGCGGCCAGGGTAAGTGGGGTCAACCCTCTGCGGTTGGCGATTTCCTCCAGCCGGAGGGTGGGGTTGATGCTCGCCCCCAGGATGAGCACATCGTTGTACATCTTGGTGACAAACTTGGTGTTGTCGTCGGTGTCGTCGGCGATTTCCACCAGGGCGTGGAGGACGGTGTTGCCGATCGAGTCCTGCGTGGCGATGTTGGCCGGCTGGTAACGATTCTCCAGCAGGAACTTGACGATGTTCAGCTGGTTGGTGCAGGCGGCGAGAGAGAGGGGCAGTTCTCCTGCAGGCCGAAATCCAACCGGGAGGGAGGCATGTGAAGCTATGGATGCCCTCCGGCTCGATTTAAACAGAATGAACGTCTACAGGCAGTTCCTCGATGTACGACCACGACGGAGCCCCAAATTTGACGTTGTTAAGTCAGACGCTGGTTAAGCGAGATTTCCCCCCCCCCCCAATTTTATGACCTTTCTCACCTCGGTTGTTAAGTGAATCGGTGCAGTGGATAACTTAGTAACCCGGACGTTAAGTGAATCCAGCTTCCCTCACGGACTTGGCTTGTTGGAAGGTTGCAAAAGGGGATTGTGTGACCCCAGGACACTGCAACTGGCATAAGTACATACCAGTTGCCAAGCCTCTGCATTTTGATCATGTGGTCATGGGAAATGCTGAAATGGTCGTAAATGTGAAAAGTGGCCATAAGTCACTTTTTTCAGACCATTTGAAGTTACAACAGCACTGAAAAAAATCCACAGTTTCAAAGTTCAAAGTTTGAAATCCATGCTGGAAACCTGGATTTCATTCATTCATTCATTCATTCATTCATTCATTCATTCATTCA